TTTTTTTCAAGGCTACTCCTGTATTGGTTAAACTTTTAATAGATCAATGTTCTCAATTCAAGACGAACTTCAATCCTCTTTTATATGCAATAGTTTTCTAATTTGTTTGTTTCATTTACTGAGATAGTAAATAGCTTTTCGTCGAGATGTTTTTTCTGCATCTGTCAGGAGTGTTGAAGTTGTCGATATCTTGTAGATTGAGTTAAAAGCGTTTTCGTTAGCTGCTAACATCTTGGTCCATATCTGAAAATGTCATACTTCTGTATTCTCTAGTTACTTATTCCCGTTTTGTAAATATTTTTCTGACTTCTCTGCATTGCGTTTATTACTTTATAATCTTGATTTTCCAACCAATGTGCTATTTCTATATACTGTTAAATCCCAGTCATGCACTTCGTCAGTTCTGTTCTCTTGTTCAATCAGCAGCTTCCTTAACTAAGTCAACTATCAGATATGTGGTTTTTATTCACGTCTGTCTAAAAGATTTCAGCGTTCAAAGTGCTACCAGTAGCTACCAGTATCCCTTAATCACTTTAGTAATTGTATTTCCGAGCCTTCAAACTGTACGTCAATTTGAATGGCAGGCATCAATAGGAAAACTGGTCTTCTAGACCGCAGACGTATTATGTTTCCGAGATCCATGTAAGATCTGGATGTAGTTACTTCCTTAAGCTCAGCTGAATAGCTTAGTGAGTCGCCTAGTGCTGTTTAACTTCACAATCCACAGAAAATGAAAGGGAGAAAAAGTAGAAATATATTGAAATAATGAGGAAGAACATAAGATGGATATTGCAGTGTTCAAGATTTCGAGAAATTTTAAACAGTGAATTCAACTGCTATCTTGTAATCCCTGTTGAAGAACGTCATCTAGTGTCACTAACTATTGGTATCTAGCATCTCAAATAATCATGCTACGTATCATGCACTTCTATGGACTGGTCTAACCACTTTTACCCTTTTTTACCCTTATTGTTTGCTAATGAGCGCTACATGTCGAGGTGGGTTGTGACTCATTTTGCATGTCTCATTACCTTCAAAACACTCTGACTGACTTCACCATTGCTAAATCAGTTATTACACTACATGAGCAGTGTAACCAATACACGTATGCTCAAATACCTCTTACTCTTCATGTAAGAAAGTAGTTGAGGCTGATGAATAAATTTTATTGAATAGAATATAACAGTAGTATGTTTTTTTTCCGTACCCATTAGACCCATCTTATTAAAGAGGTTTCACTGAATAATATTTCGAGTCAGTGAAGTTGTAATTTTCTGCAACATTTTAAAAAGTATTTGGTTACGATAAACTTAAAGCTCTGGAAATATTTTAAAATTTGATTACTGTAAAGGATTTGATTTGTGTTCACTCAATGGGGATATGTGAAGCGCTATCATTTTATGTAGCACAGATCCTTTATTATAACTGAAAAGTAACTTGTATTACTTAACACTTAAGCGTCACATCACATCTACCCTCTTTCTAGTGCATGTGATTATTTCTCCAACTGAGAAAAGTATTAGTCAGGAGTGATAAAAGATTGACGTTTAAGTTCTATCAGTTAGGTGTTTAAGTTAGCGAGCAATAGATGTTAATAACATGAAACTAGTGTATCTTACAATGAGGATCAAGACAAACAATTAAAACAATTGGGAGCAGACACCACTAATATAACGACTGAAGATTGCAATTTCTCCGGGCTTTTATGAGATCTAGTGGAAAACAGAATTCTTATGGTAAAAGTTGTGTATACCGGTTGCACTTTGTTTCACTAGTATGTTCTATTAAAGTCCTGGTAACCCAACCCTACCTACTAATATGTTGGTCGAAACCAAAATACGTCATAATACTTTAATTACATGTGATCCCAATTGTATGTTGTTTGGTGGTTATCCTGTGGGTTAAACTGCTCTGTAACTATGTTGCTAGCCACATTGTTTATCAAATGATTGAATAGTATTGTCTTTGACCAGGTTACTTTAAAAATGAACAGATAGATTTTTCAGATTTTGTTGTCAGTTATGGGCAATGTCACCAGACAGCTTCTAAAAGAAAGATTAGTTTCCTAGAACTACTCCCCAAACCACCAGTAAGAGCCACTACACGTGAAACTAAGGATCAGTTGAGTAAACTTCAGCCTTCTGGTTAGGAGATATAACTACTTACGGATGTTGGTCAATATATCCTGGCGGACGGTGGAGATCCGGTTACTACGGGCAGGGAAACGAATCGGCTGGAGGTCTTGCACAATACCTCATGAGTTCGAATTCTTACACTTTGCAGGCAGATCTTACTCCTTCATGTGTTTTCCAAGTTTGCTATTCTTGAGCTCCAGTTAACTATCAGATGACTGTAGAACATAGTAACTGTAAAATTCATTTCAGTAACAGAAATATATCAATATGCAACCACGTAGGCTGCAATTTTCCTCCATAATTTAGATGTAGCATTGTACGAGATGCATACGTCGGTATTCGTGCGGTCCCACTGTCTTAGTGATGGACAACAAGTGGTGTTTTCAAACTGGGCTTATTTTACCTTACTTTTCTGCCACAGTGGAATCATGCTGCTGTCCACCCCAAGCAAAGTATTAAGCCGCATCATCCTGGAGAGACTAAACAACAAATGCTCTGCATTCAAAATTACGACCGGAACAGGCTGGCTGGCTAGCTGGCTTCAGGAAGAACAAATCATATGCCGACAAATTACAACGCTACTCTACTCATCATCATAGAACAGAGCGTAGAATGGCAGTCGACTCAACTCAACCTCAACTTCATCGACTTTGAAAAGGCCCTCGACAGCTCGACCGAGAAGTAATTTGGCAACGGCTTCAACACTGTGGAGTGCGACAAACCTTTATCAATCTCATTCAACAGCTGTATCCTATATGATGACGCTACATGTGAAGTGATTCACTATGGAAAGCTCAGGGTCGCCTTTGAAGTTAAGACAGGAGTAAGACAAGGCTACCGCCTACTATCACCGACCATCTTCTTGATTGTGGTCGAATGGACTGGACTGGATCATGCAATAGACAACTGTGAGGGGCTGTGAGAACATGGGGATACGCTGTTTGGCCGATGAGGAGACTAGAGAAGATTTGGATTTTGCCTCCGCCTCCGATGATGATGATTTATGTATGTTTAATGTCGCACAGGCTCGAAGATCTGCAGATGAAAACCAAGTAGTTGGTAGAAAAGGCAAGGCAGAGAAGACAGGGCTTCAGGTGAAGGTAGAGAAGACAGAGGTGATGAAGATACCCAGCCAACAGCGACAACAACAAGAAGCATCAATCACCATGGACGGAGAAAGCTAAAGGAAGTTGTCTCATTTATCTACCTGGGGTGCATCTTTTCAACTACAGACGGCCACGGCACAGATGAGGACGTCAAAGTAGCCAGGATCGGAAGGATAGCAAGGCAGGCCTTCCCGCATTAACCTGAAACACTCAATATGGACATCCACTGCACTGCACCCCGTGTAAAGCGTGAACAAGATCCGGATTTTCAACAACAAATCAGTCAAGTCAGTGCTTCTATGTGATGGTTGGGAGACTTGACGTGTTACGAAAAGCATTTCCAACAAACTACAGATATTCATCAACAGCTGCGGCCTACGCTTACTCGATACTGAAGCTGAGATGTCGAGAAAGAATAAGCAACAAAGAACTCTGGCCGGGCAATGAACCAACCAAGAACCTATCGTTGAACAAATATGCAGAAGGAAGTGGAGATGGATTGGATTGGGCATGCACTGAGAAGGTCGACTGTGGACATCATGCGCCAGGCCAGGCCCTCGAGTGGAAACCAAATGAGGAATGACGAGTTGGGCGTCCGTGGCGAGGGTGACATGGAGGAGATCGTGTGAGGAAGAAATGAAAGCTTGTGGGCAGTCGTAGCGCCAGGTTGAAAGGACTGCAGAGAAGAGAGTGCAGTAGAGGTGTGCTACTGAAGCCCTATGCTCCACTAAGAACCCAAAGGATAAATAATAAAATTTCCACCACAGTTTTGTTGTTTTTAGTCTTTTCCTGCTTCTAAATCCTCAGATATTATTCTGCTTGAAAGTTCTTAGATTTATTTAGAGTACTCAAGTAGAAATTCTGTGTTAGACAGAGTTGAATAGAAAATATCGAAAATGTTTCCCAAGATGTTGAGACTTAAAATTGTATGATATTTTGGGATTGCTCTTAATCCATCTGTAGTTTGACGTTAAGCGGTAAGTTGATTGTGCACTAGTTATGCACTTGCTTAGTAGATGATGTCTCAACACAAATTTCTACTCTTCAACTCTGACTCAAGCAATATATCCAGGTATCTATTATGTTTCCAGTACGGCACATGACAGTCTGAGTCATTATACGTTTGCAGAATACAATGGTTTGCAATCGTTTCCTTGCATTCGATACAGTTACTCACTGAACAATTTGATCTCTAATTGTAATTTGGTATAAGTAGGATGATCCTGTTAAGTTTTCATCGTCTCAAGTGAAAGTGACATGTTGCATTCTTTTTCGATCATTTTGAAATGCCATGTCAGTTTGTTCATGGGTTGCTCAGAAAGTGTTCGAGTAGTTAAACTACAAAGTGATAATCTTTTATGAACTCACTTTCATTTAGTCTCTGAATAGTTTCTGAAATCTCCGATTAAAACCTGTAAGATATGAAATATTGATGAGAAGTACTGACTAGTATAAAACAGAATTCATATGAGTTTCTCTTCGATTTTTTTAGTCAGGGCAGGAACAAGTCTTGTTTTTTCTGTCATAAATAAGAAATAATTGGTTTCAAGCAAAGCATTCATTATATCCCTGAATTTGAATCAACTTTAGTTCATCTGTTTTTGTCGTTTATGCACTTCTTTCCTCTGAGTTTTAGTCTCTTATGTTGTTAAAATATGCAACAGTTTCATTAATTTGCTTTGCTTGTAACATGGAATTCTTGTTATCATTTAGTATTGTAAAGTAACCTTTTGCTGCATCGTTTGCTTTTTATCTACAGGCCACAATACTAAAGATGGAAACGATAGTGTGACAGTATCCGAAATGTCATCTATCAGCTACCCAGCAGGGACATTCCTTTCTCCCATGAATACAATGACTGCCATGATGTCTAGTGGTACTGGTATGAGTGGGTGTGGTGCTCTTTTGGTTCCTCTTGTTGCTGGCAGTCATGGCACAACTTTGCTATCATCTAATATGACTCCCGTTTCATCTCAGCTATCAGGAGTCGCAGACTCTTCTGTTTTAATGAGTACAAACAACACACCTTTAACAAGCAATTCAATCAATTTTGGTCCCTCCAGCAGTGCTAATGCCTTCACTAATTCTTCAGTTCATAATAGTGGTTCAAAACCGGATATTAACATCCCGACATCCAATTCACAGCCAAATGGACAGTTGAGGGTGAGTGTTTTGTTTTTAATGAATACAATAGTAAAGTACTGTTTTGTAGTGTAATTGGTTGCCTTTTTTGTTCTATTAAACACATGTTAAATGACCTTCACTTTTTTCTCTCAAGAATGCCAAGGGGGTCGTAGAAATGAAACCAGAACCTCTTGATTGTTTTGGAAGAGTTACCGCAGGTAAAACGGAAGATCTTTTAACTTCGGGATCTCAAAACGATATGAACACAGTGAGTTTTCTCCAACTGTCTTCGATTGCACCCTTTACATTGTCATCTTCTGCAGTGACCATGAGCACACCTACTCCAGTTCAAGTTTCACGAGTTAGTGGAATAGTGACTACAAATTCGACCGATGTAAATAGCTCAGCGCTTTCTGAAACTACTCTGAATTCAAGTTCTAAAGCATCTTCTGGTTCTGGACCTTATCGTTGTAGAGAGTGTGATAAAGAATTTCGGATATTACGTTATTTAGAAAAGCACAGACGTATACACACTGGTGAAAAACCATATCAATGTTGTTATTGTGGTCGACAGTTCAACGACTGGCCAAATATGAATCGACATAAACGGATACACACTGGTTAGTTGTATTATATCTGTTTTTCACTCTACCTATTCCCTTTCTTCCTCATAACTTAAAGAAGTACGTAAAGCGCCTTGGATAAATTGCTTTTCATTATTTTAGCTATTGTTTTACATACCTACTCAACATTGTAGTGCTCGGAAAGTCTCAAATTTAGCAATCTTTATTGTCAGTGAACTGCAAATCCCTTTCCCTTATTTGTGCTTACCAGCTTGTGTAAATGGATCTCGGTAACTACGTGTAATTCTATGCATCAGCTTCCTATAGTAAGTGATAAGTTCTTACATTTGCAAAGTGAAATAGGTAGGAAACATTTGAAATTAGACATATTTAGTTTAATCTTGGGGTTTGTGGGGATTTAGTGATTTCAGGTTTGTATTGATCATGGACTGACATCAGCTGAAAGAACATTGGAGACCTGGGAGCACTGGACAGCTTTTCCGTCTCAATTTGAGACTCTTCAGTAGTGCGCGCCCACGACCCCGCCAGGGATCAAACCGGGACCTTCAGGTTCCGAGGCCAGCGCGTTACCATTAAGCCACTGGGTCGGAATCCAATGGTCTATATTCCCAACTCCTATCGGTTCACAACATAGCGGGACCATCACCACCTGGTGGAAGTGAGGACATATACTCAACGATGACATTGGTTGATGATCGTGCTATGTCGTGAACTGATGGAATTTGGGAATATAGACCATTGAATTCCGACCCAGTGACTCGATGGTAACGTGCTGGCCAGGGAACCGTATAACAGTCTACTAATGAACAACGGGGTACAATCACATAATTAAGCTGGTGCTAAAAACTGAAATCAGGAATGGGAAATAGTTGCGCAATAATTTTTCAGACAATAGAAATAATGAGAAAGGTAAGGAATTTGACACGGTGAAAATTGTAGGTAGTTAGTAGTAGTGGTAGTAGTTGATCTGTCTTTCTCTAGACACTCATTTTCTATCAGCTGGACGATTCGATACAGATATTCAAATAATAATATATTGGTCTTAGTTTTGTAAAGAGACAAATGACTACAATCACTTGTTATAATTCAGCCTAGTCAACTAATCATTCTCAGTAGTTATGCTTTTTTCAGTCTGCATGCTTTGCACTTTTATTCTGGTAATAAAAATTTAGTTAACGGAAGGTTTAAAAGTAGGATAACCACAGTATCTTGTCCCGTTCGTTCGTCCCGTTTTTCATGATTAGATCCTTCTAATTCCTAGGCGTAACTGTTTAAAAATGTAGATATAGTTTACTCTTCATGTTTTATGTGTTAACTAAATTGTTAGTGACATTCTATCCGTATGCATAACGCAACAACCTGAAATTTAACAGAGACATTTCATCTTAATCCAGTGTTTATGATTAGTATAAACTTGTGGTAGTATCAAGTTCAAGAAAATTTTCCTAAATATAATTCACACTGGAACTGGAACTGATTGATAGATATGGTTCTAAGGGGTTTGAATATGCTTCCTCTTTATCGTTTTCTAAGTTGAAAATGGTTTTTCCACTTTACCTTTCTGCTTCCTGCCTTCACCTGACTCTTCGTTTTTTGATTCATTTCACTCTGCCATAGGCCTGTGAGAGTACATCGGTGTAACTGGTTGGTTTCCAACCTGTAGGTTATCCATCTGAACTCCGCTCCACCCACTGAGATTTCGACAGTCAAGTAGTATACTTAGCCTTCATGGGTGTTGATTAGTGCGTAAGGCTACACTTGGTATCTGGATTACATTTATTCTCCCTACTGGTATCAAATTCAGTTGAAGCAGTAAAGATTTATTCTAACCCTTATGCTGTTTCTGTTTGTTATCAATACTTATCATGCCTAACTAACTAATCATCAATTCAAAAATCATTTCGAACTTTTATCGTAATAATTTCTTACCTTTCTGTTAGCTGAAAGGTGATAACTTTCATAAGCATTTTGAAGTCACAGCTTGAATGAGTATTTTGTTGTTAGCTTGAAAACTGTTCATTAATGATTTTGATATTCTCTGATGACTGTCGTGGGAAAATGAATGTATGTTCTAACTTACAATTCAGGTGAACGACCTTATCGCTGTACCGTATGCACCAAGACATTTTCACAACCAGCAGTGTACAACGAACATGTGAAGCGACATACTGGAGAACGACCCTACATATGTACAGTATGCGCAAAAGGATTCCCTCGAGCTGCTCGCCTCGCTGTTCATATGCGTGTTCATACAGGTGAACGTCCCTACCCATGCACTTCCTGTGACAGAAGATTTAGTCAACCACATCATTTGGCTGCTCATCTGTGAGTTATTTCTTCACTATATATCATGATACGAGAAAACTTTTTCTCCTAGTGCGACTTATGTGGTATCGAGAATTAGTTATCATTCGGTCTATGAACATCTGTATCAAGATGAAATTTCCTTTTGAGTTTACTCGAAGAAATTGCGTTAAGTCTTTTCTCGACCGAAATCTTCTCTCTTGACGTGGTGGCTGGACTTGCATATCACAATTGCCCGACTAACATTGAATAAAAAGAGTGTTCCTCAAGGTCTCACCATGTCGGAAAGGTCTGTTGGATAGCGGTAAGACACTGTCGTGTAAATAGGTTACTGTATGACGGGTCTCCGAGGGCGAAGTCATACTACTGTCTGGATGAAGTGTGACAACAGTAAGGTGTTTTCTGTGTATGACCAGGAGTCCATTCTGACTCTACGTTTCCTTATCAGAAAGAGTTAGAAAAAACTGACTCTAAAATTAGCACATATCTCTGCCTGGCAGTTCTCGATTGCCAGCGTGCTCGAATCGTGATCATGCTTAACCTTACGTTTAACGGTTTGTAGGAAAACTGCAGCTAAAAGATTATCATGAGCTCAGCTTAATTATGAGAATGCTAATGTTGCTTTCAAAGAGAGACTTGTTAGACAGTTATTGGGACTTAACAAAGTTACTCATCAAGTGTTGTTTAAGCAATGTTAGATACTGTATCTGAGCCTCGGAGAATGTTTACAAAAGGCCAGTCGATCTCAGCAGCTCATTTTAAATTAGTGGATACATTCGGTCGCATTTCTGTAGGCTATCAAGCCTAATGAACAGCTGAAGTGGCTCGAATGTAGATTGTCAAAGAGTCTATGCAACGAGCGTGAACAATGATGAGCGGTGAAGGCTAGAGAGATCTGAAAGACAACGGTGAAGTAGCATTAACAAGGAAACGTGATCGGAATAGGCAATAGTCATTGAACCTGTGATAGGGATCGATGAGTGAGTGTGTGATCCACTTACTACGGAGTTAATTGGAATTATGGGTGGGACATTTTCCCTGAAACACATGAAGACTTACCGGTGCCTGATACTAGCTGTATTTCTTAACTCAAAGGCGGTATTTGAATGCATAAATCAGTAAGTTTCATGACAATCTATGTAACTGTAAGGGGTGTATAAGAATTGTATCATCCTCCTGAGAGATACTGTCATAGGATATCTTAATCGACGGAGTTAAGTGCTGCCTGTATTTCAAGGAATGCAACTGGTTTTGGGTTCCCAAACGTGGCAGGTTGGAAGATCTGATTGATACACTCACGGGGTCAGATTGGAAATATACTTGGTTTCTTGGATTCACTGTTCCTCAAATTTACTTAAACTCTGTTAGTTAAGGAACTAAGAATTTCAGACAGTGTTCATCTGACCATTTATTTTCTGATTATCACTAGAGGTTTTCTTCCCTTTCGTTGTGAAGTGCATGATGAAGTCGATGGCTGACAAAGTCTTGGCATACAAACATTAGACTAGTTTTGGCCAGCTCATCCCATTTACAACACTGGCTAGATATCCGATTACCAATTTAAGGCTATGATGTACCTGCTACTGGTTCGTTTTGTCGCACCGTATGGGTGAGAGAATATGGTCATGGCGAAAACTTGAGGAGACCCCAGGTGTCCGACCACATGCACTACCGTTTCATTCCCTGGTTTTTGTATAATCACCACGTTAGTACTAAAGATGTGAGGCACAGAGTTTTAGGCAGAAGAGGTAAGTCATTTAATGTGACTTCAAACCTTCGTTGACTGGGATAACTGGTTCATGTTTTACGCATGTCTAATCATTGTCCGCCCCGTAGGTTTATGCTTGAAAAAAGTTATAGGTAGCTAGACTAAAATCTGGGGTCAGTTCGGGAAGTCTGCGATTGTTTAGCTGCTCTAAGTAGAGAAATGTAAACTTTAAGGTTGGAGTTTATACACTGTGCAAATTGGTGGTTAGCGACTAGATGATGTAATTCAGAATTAATCTCGGCGGGACACATTCATTGGCACTTTATCATCAGGTCATACTACGTTGTTTGCTTTACTCGATCTTCCCAATCTCCATGTAAAGCTGTTGCATATGCCAGATTTCATTTTCTGAGTCATTGAAGAAACCAATATGTTTCCGAAATCATTTGATATCGTTCCGCTTGCCTAATAGGTGTTAGACATGTACTCATCACTGTGCTCATATCCTTTCCTTACCTAGCTAGACCACCTTAGAGTTCATTATCACGAATAGGAGGAACTGTTTTACAATAGGTTACATCTCTAAGATCAACCACAATCATTGTATATATCCTTAGATTGTGTATATAATTAAAAGTAAAACTTGCAATTGTATTATCTGCTTTTTCCCTTTGAATATTTATGTGCCTAGGAGTAATAAGAGTTAGAAAATCAATCTGCGAGTGTTCTCAGTGTTTAAATTTTTATATCATCTGTCAAATTAAATAATTGATTTCAGGTTTCCACAATATGATCGATTTTCTGAACCTATAATATATGTTCTTTAATTTTCACATTTTTGTTTTAGTCGTGTTCATAGCGGTGATCGACCTTACTCTTGCCCGAGATGTGATGTAAGTTTTGCTTGTATATCCAATTTACGTCGACATCGCAAGCAAGTTCATCCAACAAGTCCTCCTCCATCTGAAAACTCCGATGGTAATGAGATGAAAAGTGGAAATGATGAAAAGAAACCATCACTTCAACTTATTACTTCCAGTGTTTCAGAGAATATCAGTTCCTCCTCGGTAGTTACTATGGAGACACCATCGTACATGTCTTCTTCCGCTTTGTCGGCTGATACACCAGTTGCAATCGCTGCTGCAATGTCGGGAACAGTTTTAACAGCGACTGGTGCTTTAGTTCCAGCAAATTTCTTACCTGCATCATCAATCCCTGGTCTGATCTTAACTTCAGCGGCTCCTGGTGCTCTAATAGCTACACCAGCACACTTGGCTGAACACCATTCCCATCTTCATCCTACTATTATTGCGCATAATTCGGGTAATTTATCCGGCATGATTTAATATGCCGTTTTCAGTTATGATAATTTTGGGAAATGGGTTTTGGCATGAATTTTAATTGTTATATCACTTTCTGTATAGACGTTTTGTATCGTTTGGCATAGTTCTGAACACTGTCACTAAACGTGAGGCTGCAGTTATTCAGTTGAATTGGTAATGGATTTCTTGCTTATTCCATAAGTGGCGAGGTATATTACTAAATCTATTTAGAAGTTACTTTCTTTTATGATTTAGTACTAATTTACTTTCTAATCTCCTATTGTTTTTAGGCAAGCAAATAGGGTCATTTAAAGATGAACTGTTAAAGGCAAAGACACACCTACTACTGTGTTCGGGCATGGTAAAGATCATCATCAGTCGTCATCTTGAAATGCCAGTTTTAGTTGACTAGACAATTTTCGTACACAGTTTGCATACTATCCATTGTTTGATAACCGTCAAACTAGTTGAAGGAAGTGGAAAAAAAGAGAAAACCAGCATATCTCATGGTACCGTGGAATGAATCGTAGTTGTGTTGTGGGATTCCTTGGCTGATGTCCGTAAGATCATGTGACCGTGGTTTGGTACACGATCATGCTAATCTCAGAACCAAAACCACTTGCAGTCATGCAGTACTCTCCTTCTGTCTTACTTAAAAGTGATAACCCACCTTGTAAGACTACTACAACAATTTCTCTGTCTCTCTTTCAAATTTTTATAATGTCTCAATAATCTGTATGACAGATATCTTAGTGTCTGTGCCAAGTTTGTATCTTAAATGAGGAAAACAATAGAGTTGGTGGTTGAACGCCCTTTAAGACAAGTTCAACTGTTTTGTAGCTAGATTTCGACCACTAACGTCCAGACATTATGTGATGTTGACACTATTACTCCTGAAATCAAAAATAAAAACTTATGTCTGATATTGCTATGGGCCAAGGCTCCATGAAGTCACGGACTTTATTGGTTTGAGCCTTACAGTAGAGTGTCTACCTCATGCTTCATGCTGTCAGAATATTATAAATGTATGCTTGTGAATCAAAGATCTCTAATCGAACTCACGCAGCTATGTAATGACTTATGGAGAGTTATCATCTGAATTGTCGACAACCAATGGTGTCCGCCAGGGATGCCAGCTTTTACAATTTCTTCACTTCACAGGGATTCACCTACTCGCTGGAGGGTATCTGATTGACTTGGAGTACACAGATGACATTGTTCTGCCAGGCGAAAATGCTGATAAAGTGAAGGGTCTTCCGAAAACCTTGGTAAGAAATGTATGTTTGGTATGCATTTCGCACCTTTCAAATTTGAGATGATGCTTTAGGCCTGGTCTTCTGCTGCTCCCAGTTTAAGGATAGGAAAGTGAAGCATCAGCCCGAACGGCGGTAGTTGCAGATGGGATCTCAGCTCGTATACGGGAGCCCGTTTTGCATTTTCCAGCTTTTATTATCTCTGGCGCCGGCGAGATATAAAATTTCCTGTTGAGGTACGAGTATGCTTTGCTTCAATTCGCTCTACCCTACTATACGGCTGGGAAAAATGGACGTCGAAAATAGAGAATACAGAGACCACAGGTGTCTTCGTAGCATTGCTCATGTATGTTAGAATCACCATGTGAACAATGTCGAGGTCAGGTGAAGGATACTGGACAAAGGAGGAAAGTCGGTCGATGAGGTTAGGGACCTTCAGTGATTGAGATGTCGTTAACATGTACTGCGCATGCTGAGGCACCGTCTACTTCGATGCGCAATTCTAGAAGTTAGACGAAGTTGAAGGTGGGCTCAGGGTAGCCAGATCAAGACGTGACCCTAGTCCACACAGTCACTCACTGTTAGTCTAAGCCGTGTAGTGGTATGTAGGCTCTTCGACTGGGGTTTCTGAGACGATAGGAATCAGTGGTTGAGGGCTCTTGATGACATAGTTAAAAGTCGGTCAGAATGGCTCAGATGTGTTTATTCTTTGACGTCTCCTAAAGCTTGAATATTTGCACTAACCTTAATCTTCAAATTGCTTATTGTCTCACACAACTTCGCCTACTTTGATTTTAGTCTTTTTCTGTTCTCATGTTCTTTGCGTACTGCTGTGAAGTGTGATAACTTGAGCGGATGCACTTGTGTGCGATACTCTACGTTGCCTTTGTTTCTCTGTCTGTCATTTTGCATAATTTGGCTCAAAATAAATGACTGTATACTTTATTGTACATTTTTGAAATCTTATAAATATTGAGGGTTTCTTACTTTTTGTACTATCCACTCATTTCCTTGTCAGTTGTCTACAATATACTTTAATTTACTATGTTTTCGTCCCTGTGTGATAACTGTGCAGTTCGACAACGTCAAATAATATTTCAACTGTGTGGGCTTCTGTGGCGTTATCAATCTCTGTTTAGTGGTATGGCTTATTCATCTACAGAAGTCTGAATGCTGGCTTTCTGAACTAATCCTTAAAACCCACCGGTGAATAGCAATTAGACTGAAACCAATTTATTAACCGTTCGGGTTATCGTTTGAAAATTGAAAAACTTACTGGTCTCCGAAATCTGTGTCGGTGCTTATTTGAACGACTGTGTAGTCACTATGAAATTTAGACGTAAAGCACTAGACTGACAGATATGATCAGCTTAAAACCAGGCATTACAGCGTAGAAGTCCAAGATGGGACACTTCTTATCACCAAATCAAGCGAGAAAGTACTAAGATAAAAGATCAAGAAGGAGTGAAGATAGCAATCAAAGGTACTAGAAAGTCGTGATAAGATAACAAGAAGGAATAAGAAAATACTGAATTCGGTATGACGGTTAAGATGATAGAAATGTGGGAACGCGTCTGTGTCACTGAGATCGATTCCGGACCATGTCACTGAAAGTTAACAACCAATGGTTTTTGTTGTCACGCGGACCCTAACCAGGAAGTTCAAATTTTCGTACGTTGTTCAGACCAACAGTCAAAGACTTCATGAATTGATGCCATGTTTTAGTCCACCCTCCTCTAACCCTTTCCCAGACTGAAGCCATTTTAACTAACATTGTGTGATGAGTCAGATTGTTACCAGCCTTGGGTAAAACATGTCCCAGTCACCTCGATGTAAGTTCACCACCTCATCAAGTGACTTTCCTCTTCTCCCTAAAACGCTGCGCCTGAGTTTTACGACACTGACCAGGTGACACTATTGCACAAGACCTATTCTGCGAAGGCAACGGTGGTCTAGCAACCGGAGCCTTCTCATTTCCTCTAAATTTAATGACTATTTTTTACAACCATGTAGAGTAGAACAACTGGGACTGGAGTGTCGCATTAGGCTAGGAAGGCAAATGAGTCGATATGGTCGTCAACTTCTGTGACATACTCAGACTACCGCATTGTGCGATGCACTGTGTTAACTAAAGTAGGAATAAAACTGGAAGAAAGCTAAAGATGACCTGAACGAAAGGTGGCATTATCCCATGAAATTGGTGATTATTGTTATGAGCGATATTCGACAGTGTAGACTATCTGGTTGAGGTTGTCGAAGTTTTACGATTCATTGGTTGGAAACTCTTACCGATATAATGCATATGTAAACACTTTGCCGTCTTCAAAACTTTGAACATTTTTAATAACCTTCATTTACTTTTCTTCTCTCATGCACTTTTGTGTACTTTGATATCATTCTTTTTCTCCTTTCTTAGTATAGTGGTGTGAAATATGGCTAGTTGAAGTGATTCACGATTTACTTACATATGTCTGTGTCTGGTTTGAACGTACTGCTTTCATTTATTGTGATTGGATTAGTTTACTTTGTGGATTTATCCTATGATATATTGAAACATTTTTTCATTACCTTTTATTAATCTAATAAATAGGGTATGTGACGATTTTTATGTTGATGTGTCAAAGACATGAATGTTGTTATTAAAAATGGACTTATACTGAGTTTACTCCGGAGCACGTTATCACTTAATGTACTAATTTTCTTCACATGATTATTTTTTACGTATAGATAAATATTCTGTAATGTATGATAACGAATTTATTTTTCAAGAATGTGGGTTAATCTTAAATTGTTATTTTACATGAACTGGAGCTGTTGCTCATTATCTAAAAAGTCAGCTTTTAAAAGGTCATTGGTGTTTGGTCTCCTCTCCACCTGCCGAGGTTTGGACAGTCTAGTGGTACACTTAAGCCTCAAATTATGGTTCATTGCCTAGTGCATGGACCCTCACGTGTTTATTGGTTAACATTTTGAATGATGGTCCTAGAAAGTCTGGAGTTTTACTATAGTATGTAATAGATAATTTATGAAATCTTATTCCTAGTACTCATCTCTCTTCAGTTTGGTTACATTTCTTCTTACCGGTACATTTGTGTTAGAATTATTAGTACTTGCAGAGAATTTCTAAAGCTTCGTAAGCTGTGGTTTCCTATTAGTTACCAATAAGATGAATATCATACCTTCCGTTCTGACTTTGTAGGTGAAGGGAATAATACATCTCTTTTGACAACATCTCTTTCCGGTGGTCTTTGTTCTATTGCTCAACCTTCTGCGTCGCTGGCATCTTCGTCAACTGGTTTAAGCGTCCAGTCGGATACACTTTTGAAAGCTAGTTCTTCTCCAACGATGTCATTCATGTTTCCTACTGTTCTTACGTCGACTCCTCATGGTGATGCCCTTCGGCAAACTTCAGTTGCTTTTCTCACACCAGCAGGTGAATTGGATCGGTCTTGCGCTACTTTAGCTACTGCTGGACCAGATGGCGGATTTATCTTGAACCCTGTTGGGGGAGATACTGTGTATTTGGAACCGGTAAGTTTTTTTGTAGTCTTTTCTCATTCTTCATAGGTTCATAACTCACACGTTTTCTGCAAACACACTTTGCGTGTAGCCATTTTAATCAATAAATTTCAAAATAATTACTTTCTACATCTACCAGGTTCTGCTATAATGCTGTGCTCTCACTGTGTAAGATTTTCTGATGATGATGTTCTTACGATACCCACTAGCATCCTAGGTTTCCTGGCTTTAGAATCTTCTAGCTAGGGTATACTATGCTCTAGGATTCCCATCGTTTTCGTGCCTACAACTCATTTTTAAATTTGAAGGTATCACTGCATAGCACCAACTTGAACAATAGGATGTATACTTCACAATTTAATCATGGGAAATGGTCATATTTATAGCGCTTACTTAAACTCACGTTTATGCAGACATTTGACATCTTCTACCATAGCATTATTGAGGTTGCTGTAGTAAGATTGTAGGTTGGCTAGAATTCCCCAGAGAAATGGAAACACGTAATTCGCTCCAGAAAGCAACTGGAAATGTTCATAGAACATGGAAAATTAGGCAACCGAATTTCACTTAAACTTCATGAGGCAACCATTAGGTCAAGTACTGAGTAATATTACGTTAGCATCATCACTTCATCACTGTCCTTGTTTTTAAGATCTGAATTTGAATCAGTTCTTCACTAAACTAACTGAATAATAGTCATGCTACATTACGAATTGTTAGAAGTCTTAAAAAGACCATGAACGTTTGGTTTTTATTCACTGGTCGCTTGCTAAAGTGCTTACTGCGAGTTGTGATGGTTGTGGGCTCAAACTCATATGGAACCTCGAAGTCCCAAACCAAGACGAAAAAGCTATCCAGTGTTCCCTAATTTTCAGTGATCCTGTAGGCAATATGCACCTTTAGTATGAACTACTCTGTTACTTTTCGGCTACTTAAGTACAGTTGGTTTACCAATCACAGAAATTAGTATTTAACTGCTTTTTTGTTTTCAGACATTAATTGAATGTAAATATGTTTGGAAAAAACAAAATAATTCTTCAATGTAGATGTTATCTTTCTGTTTTTAAAGAAACTTTATCATGCCTGTATGTGGTTTGACAAAGAAAACAATACATTGATTGATACTGTGTATTGATTCACAGTTGAAGTGATAGAATTCGATTTTTTGGTTGTATTGTGTTCTCTGAGCTGGGTTATTCTATCGTGGAGTTTTCATCGTCTTTCTAGACGACGTCATCAGCACTAACTGGAAGTGAGCTGTCAATATCTCTCATTATCTTTCACGGAGAGATATTGACAGCTCACTTCACACTGAAGACGATGAAAGCTCAACGATTAAACAATGCAGCTTAAAGAACACAATAAAACCAAGATCATCCACATGAGCTACAAATATTCTCCACCATTTCAAAATTCGATGTTTTAAAAGTTCCGTGCACTTAGCAATTCTCTTCTTCTTTATATATGCTTCATTGAATAAGTTTTGATAAACTTTCTGTTGCAATTCATTTCTAAGCATCTTCCTCTTTTAGCTTGATCCTCGACTGACACTGGAACCTGGACAACAATTTACACTTACGACAATTCCAACCTCCCATCCACATGGTTCTGCAACTTTGCTTAATCCGCACCATTCAGCTGCTCATTTAATGGGACACCAAGTTCATTTACAATCGGGGCAGGCAACTCATATAGCATTCGCAACGAATCTACCTACCCATAGTCAACAGGCATCACATCTGTTATCTCCCAATTCAGCCATATTTCCTTCTAATGCAACATCTAACCAGGCAGCACTTCATAGTGGTCACTCTTCTACAACAGTTATTTTCCCTCCTCCTGCTTCTGTTTCTCACTCCAGTTTAGCAAGTCAGCAACAGTCTGTACTACAATCCGCTACAGAAGCAAATGCTCCTTCTCAACTATTCCATTATCATAGGCCAGTTTGCACTACAGGTGTGTTACCAGGTCGCCCATCATCCACTCCTACTCAGCAGCAAACAGCAATGCTTGTACCCATAGTGCATACACCTCCTGTTGGTGGGACATCCAGTTTACCGAATTCAACATGCGAATCGAATGATTGCATAAACTCAAATCCTGTAACATCAACTTGGCCTGTTAGTGGCACATTTCTGACATTTGCCTCCTCACATCTCTGTCCTGTTTCCTCTTCCACTCTCCTGGAAGATCATACCGAATCTTGTGTTCTTGCAAACTCTCGACCTTCTTCGGTTCTGTCTAATTCTTCATCTCTTGGTGCTATCACAGCTGTATCAGTACCAGAGACAAGTTTATAGTTTCTCTTTTGAACACAATTGTGTGCAAGTTATAAATACTACACTTTTCCTCTGTATTGTTTACTCCTGTCAAAGTAATCTTTGTTTTCTTTGAAATCTGTTTCATACTTTTATACCTTTTTTCATATTGACTTCAAAGTAAAAAAGATGATGACGTTGATGACAACAACAATGGAGAAGCTTTCTGTTTCAACCAAATGTTTTTTGATAGCTCCATCCTCTTGCTCATCATAATTGGTTTTGTTTGCTGTTTGATTTCTTTTTTTTTGATTTTGATAACTTCATCATGATATGTACAAATGCCTCACTTGTGTGTCTGTTTTGAATAATATAGTCATATTACTAGTAAGTTCCATTACTGCTGCTACTACTGTTACTACCAATACTACTACTACTACTACTATTAATATAAACATATTAATTAATTAACATTGTGTAATATTAATTCCTCTCCCTTACCTTATTTTTGTGTACCAGCAAGTGAATGTTGGTTTTGTCATGGACGCTTCTACATCATCTGACTCACATTTGTACTTATTAGTGTAACACCTTACAATTTTAATCGTTATCACTGACACTCATATATTACTATCACATCCTAATAATTATTGTCATTATTTTTTAGCTTTTCGCATACTCATACCAATGTAACTGTTAACATTTAACTTGACTATTCTGTCGTATTGTGGGTATGTATATGCGTGTACGCGAGGCTTACTCAGCCTCCTACTGATATTATGTACACTAATGTTTAGTCATTTTAATGCAGAGATCTTGTTGTTATAGACACTAATATATTTCTTCGTTTTTTTTTTTTGAAAAATTTTTTGTCTACTTTGTCGTTGTTTTTTCTCCTTTATTTCTCTTTGAAACGTATAATGATTTGTGCACTTTATATCCCCTCTTTTTGTATTTGGTCTCTGATGTATTCTACTTTTTGTGTTTTTTAAATGCAGACACACATACAAACATAATGTTCTTTTCACTGAACACATTTATGTACAGTCTTTTTTTATTTCTTTCGGGGGAAATGATACCAAGTATGATTGCTATTATCTTATTGTTAGTGCGACATGGAGCTCAAATGAATGTTATTTTCTACTTTGACAATGTTATCCTTTTTTCTCTTGAGATGTATATTCGTGTGTCTGTGTGTGTAGATTTTCTGCTACATACTCATTGTGTCTATTTATATATTTGTATTTGATTACTGGATATGAGTGCATAATGATATATGAAGTTTAACTACACAGTTATTTATTAACTAGGTCATGGTTAACCTATTGGCAATCTATATTAAAGGAAATTCAAAGTTTAAAGAACAATTAACTGATGTTAGTTAACTCTTTTTACTGAATATACAGATTTAGTCAACAGCGGCAGATAAAATAATGTAAGTCCATTATAGTTCTTCGTTATATGTCACACACTTAAACAGTATTATTTAGTAATGACATATTGAATGGAATTTGCTGCTCATAAAGATAAACATACAACTTCAAGATCCAGTTTATATAGTCCTACTTTTCTTCATTCTTTGATTTCACTAGTGATAAAATTCTCCACATATCCTAAGTCGGTGTTACGTCACTTCTGTTACATGTGTCGGGTGTCTATTCGATAAAAAAGCCTCAGGTATCAATCTCCCTATCCAATTACGTTTTTTAAGATTGTCACTCTATCCCATGCATGACCATGTCTGAGCTCTTTGCTAACTTTCATATCTTTCTATGATCCACCGTTCTATGTTTAGCTAGTTCCCTATGTCCTGATAACTGGATCTACTTGTTTGACCTATATATTTAACCCTACAGTCGTTACATGGAATTTAGTAGACAAAACTGTTTTGTTTAGTAGGTTCGATAGGATCCTTAACCGAAAAAGTTTGTCTTTGAGCGAGTTTGTAGGCTTAAATGCCAATCTAATCCCAACCTTATTATGAATCTTACTTACGACTTATATCGCTTCTTCATATGGTAAAACCATAGATTTTTAAGTCCTTCTCAGTGGTTTCATCACTAACACATTATATCTGTAACCGTATTATTTGTACTATTTTTTCTACCACTTCTTATGTGCTACTAGGGTAAACTCACGCGTTAACTGTTGAGTAATTATACATTTGTATCTTTCGTTTCTTCATATAGCGTTTCTGCCTTACTAGGCACTCGGAGAGGGAGAGTGATTGATACTCAGAGCTTCGTTTATCGAAGCGATGCCTGACGCGTGTAATAGAAGTGACGCAACACCGATTCCGGATATGTTTAGAATTTCACCACTAGTGAAATCAAAAAATGAAGAAAAGTAGAACTATAATATAAACTAGACCTCGAAGTTGTATTATTATCTTTATATGATTATGAGCAGTAAATTCCTTAATAAAAGGTCATCAGTAAATGATACTGTTTCAGTGTGTGATACATATAATGAAGAACTAAAGTGAAATTATTGTCTACCGCAGTACCCAAATCCTATTTTCATAATAATGAAAGTTAATATCAGGTGAGCATTAGTTGTGTTAGCTGTGTTACAACAGAATTTTAGGAAGGAGACACTTTGGAAACATAAAAGTTGTCAAAAGTGGTTGAGATGAGGGGGAAGCTGTAGACTTCTAGGTCGGATTTTGTGATGACCGAAACCGATGGTTGAAGATCCTAGGTGATGTGGCTCATAATCGATCTTAGTAGTATCAATGTAGTTACGAGTTACCTCGATATCAACTGCTATGTCGCATTTCATGGTTTGCTCTACGTCCTCTTCTCTGCAGTTTGATTGTCTACGACTTTTATCATTTACATTTTTCCTTTTGTTGGCTCATATCTTCATGAGTCTGTGTGAGTTGTGACAACTTTGGCCATTGCTCAGTAATGCTAGGTTCCATGTTGGTACTGAGCGACTTCATGCCAAAACGATAGTTTTTATTCTTAACATTTATAGGACCGAATTTCAAGGGAACTCGGTTTTCAAAAACGTACCAACATGCGCTAGCAATCAGCATTCCGTCTGATCTGGCTTCATTTATAATTCTTATAATTAGTCTTGATTAGTGTCAACATTCCATTCATTTACTGACTATTATTGACTATCAGAATGTATGTTGGACCTGTTTCGCGAAAGCCATCGATACTACGTGGCTACTCACTCACTGTTTGGGGTGGCTTTCTGAACAATCACGCATGAGGAATGTTGGTCAGGTAAATTAAGTAAACCAGCTTCAGTTCAATCTTTCTATTACCAGTGGACAGGTTGATGAGTACTCGTTTACATTCTGTCTTTACCTTTTGATAATTATTTGGGGGAGATAAACTGACTGACAGAATCAACGTACGACCTCGCACACAGGTGCCCACTTCACAGTCGTACAAAAAAACATGGATAGAAAAGTAGTGATATCAAAGTAAATAAAGCAATCTAGGAGACTAAACGATCTGAAGATAAAGGTTGGTGCAATTATTCAAGCTTTAGAAGATGTCAAGGTGTGAATATATCTGCGCCCCTGTGACCGATTTTAAGCCATGTCACCAAGAGTTCTCAACCACCGATTTCTTTCGTCTCGGAGACCCCAACCAGGCAGTCTACATCCTTCCATACGACTCTGACCAACAGTTAGGGACTTTATCGACTAGTGACACGTTTTCATCTGGCCACACTGAGCCTTCTTCCAACTTAGTCCAACTTTCCCTAGCATTGCATCCCACGTCATCAATCTTGAAAGTGATGATTGTATACTTCTGCTTTTTTTGAAAGTAATTGTCTGTTATTCTGTATCTATTAAGGACAATCTCATTTATTGTTTGTTGTATTAACTCATCCAACTTCTACTGGGATGCTTTGTTAAGGAAATTAGTGTGTGTTTACAATTTCAGCTTAACCATCGTGTATTTAGTAAAAAGTTGATTGTCGTACTTATCATCATTATGTGAAACGAAACTGAGCATCTTACAGAGTTAGACTTAACATCTGTGTAGATCCTGGAAGTTTAAACCGCAGCATTTGCTGATACAATTTCAGTTGAAAAGTTTATCAGAGGATAATCAGAATGTCTTGACATTGTTCGTTGAAAATTTTAACTAATCCATCCACTTTCATCGGTGGAGTTATATGACAAAATTTAGAGTAGTTGGCGGAGACTTTGATTCCGTTATTAAAATTGGGATAAAACAGCATGGTTGAAATTACATAATCCTCTCATGTGATCATTCACGTAAGCAAACTCAATAAAATTCATCATCATTGTGAAGTAAAGTTTTGTTGGGGTCATCGAGATGATAGGAATCAATGGTTGAAGATCCTTGTTGATGTGATTAAAAATTGGCCACTTTGACGCAGGTATATTAACTCCGACATTTTCTAAAGCCCGAATGTTTTCATCAATCTCGATTTCAAAATTCCTCCTCTCATACACGTTTTCCGATTCTGATATCAGTCTTTTTTCACTGTTGTGAAGTTCATATGACGTTGATTTTGTCTCTGTTAGCTACATTGGTTGACATTACTCGGTATAGTAGACATTCTGAACCGTCGATATATTGTAAAACAACTCATCGAGTTATGTACCGTAAACTAAATAGGTAGATGACGCAATACACTTCTGGATGGAGTCCTCATTTGAAATCTATGACCTAATACATGGCAAAAGTCCTCATCTTTCTTTTCTGACTAAGCAATTGACATTAATAAACAAAATTCATCGAGCATTTTCAGGATTTTAATTCTGTGATTCTGTTTGATTGTAAGTTTTTAATTTCAGAAATACGTCACTTGCCGGTGAATCATGCAATACCAAAGGTTCAGGGAAATCATTGTTTGGTGTGTTTCAGACGAGATCTGAATCCTTGAATAAAACGAGCGTGCAAGCTCTTAGTGGTTATTGAGTGAAAGGGATAGCGTTGAAGGTTATTTAGTCCATATTCGTTTTCTGTACAATGATCTCTCTTGTTGACAATACATGTAGTAATGGAAAATTCAATTCAATTCACACTCTGGAGTGGATTTTAAACGTGAATGAGAAGGATTGATACTGTTGAGTAGGTTGTTCAAGTCAAATTCTTCGTCATATATGGTAAAAATATCATCTATGTACTTATTTTGAAGTGTAGCTGACTGAATAGTGAATTAAGGATACCAATTTCAAGACAGGTCATGAAACAAACAGTTGAAAGTGAACCACACCATCCTTTTGCATGTAGGATTCTTCGTGGGATTTAGACTGAATGTTGAAAGTACATTTGAGTAGTTCTTCCAACTAGCTGACATGTATGGTAGTGTCTAGTTTTTCGGACTTGTTGCAGTTGCTTATATTTTTCAGGTAACCTAAGTTAGGGGAGTATTTGTGAAGAAAGAAGTATTATCCCTAGAAAGAATTTTTCCGTTGAACATGTTAACATTTTTCACTGATTGTCTTTAATCAAAGAGATCATTGAGGCTGTATTTTGCCAGATGCTTCCTTACATGTTTGAGAATATTTGGAAGGCATCAGGTGATATAGAGAACTGATCAGATCTATTGTTTATCGAATAGAAATGTCTGCTCTGTATTATTTAGATAACCTACGGATGATCGCACTGAACCGTCTAAGTTTTTTGCGCCAGTCCAAAGTAACCACTTATTCGTCTTTGGCTTTCGGTGGGATTTTTTTAGAGAAAATTCCCAGTCTGCGCAATTTTGTCTTTCTGATTTAGTCCTTTTTAGAACCTTATCTCACTGAGTACTATCCTCGACAATCTATCGACGCAGATAAGTTTTGTAGCATGATTGCTGACAACCAAGTTTAGCTGTATTCGCATTTTGTTGTTTAAGCTACATCCTATCTTCTTTTGATAGAAGATATCGATTGCTTTACCGTGTATTCATATACCCATAAAAGTTACATAGGACGATAGTTTCGAACTGTTCAATATTTTCATTCGAATTTCGTGTCCAGTCAGATGTATAGGCGATAAGATTTTCAAACTGGGCTTTTGTTTTGAGTTCACTCATCAGATAAAAAATGATGGGATTTGGGGCCAAGGGACGGACATTGGATTCCAATTTTAATTTGAGTTACACTTGAACATCTTCAGGTTTAATTTGACAACCTTTGAGGTAATAATGGATAACTTCCAGTTGATTTCTTACACTACGAGTTGTGAACTAGTACCATTATTAAGCTTCTCAATATGAGTGGAGAGTTTTTCATAGTCTTCAACGCATAACTCATTTCAAGCGTGACTTTTACGTGATATATTTCTTTTTAGTTCTGCCAATTGTGAACGCATAAGATCAGTATTATTTAGTATATGACTTTTTAATCTCCGTAAAATTTCGGGTTTATATGATATCGACTAAGATCTTCCAATAAAAATTGATATTCATGTTTATCAAAGCAGCTTGTTTACTAAACAGAATGAAGAG